TATCCATGGCGCTTTCCTTTCCTCTTCGCTCTGCGACACGGAACGAGGATCAATGGGTCCCAGTGCTGAAGCCTCCGGCATAATCGAGGCAAAGGGGGCCAAGAAAAGGAAGCTATTAGAATAATACAAGTCAATTGAGAGGCCACTACTACTACATACTTAGTAATGTACAAACCCCGAGGCTCAAGTCTGGCTTCTTTCCGGTGCCACAAATAATATTACACGAAGTTGATTCCCAGATTTGCTTATCCCTAGTCTCGTTGCAGAAGCCCCTTAGCTTGGGGACTGGTAGCGAGTCTGGTCCGTTCTGCAGTTTCGGCGTTCGCATTCAAACCTGTTTATCTCCCATGTCTCTGCTGCACATTATATTCGATGAAAGTCCCAAGAGGGGTCCCCAGAAACTCATCCTGGAGGCTTCTTGCAAAACCCTAGACGCGCCCGAACCGAATACACGCTCCGAGCGAAATCCACTCCACCGTGTATCGCGGCAAGACCACAGCTATAGGGACGTCGGAGGCACTCAAATTTGCCTACGATGTGGACACATCAGCAAAATGGCAGCCCACGCTAAGGCGCTAAGTACCGCTAAGGCGCCCTTACCGAGCTCCTTAGCTCTAACTCTCTGAGTTGCTTAGCCGATGCTGTAGAGGGCGGCAGAGCAATATACATGGCTCTGTTGATCATAGATGTACATGTAATGTATACCAGTAGCACTAGACAAGGGTGGAGACTCGTAATTCGGGAGTTGCTATCATTCAAGGCAAAGGTTGAGTCCATCATGAAACGGTTTTGGGCACCGATTAGTATAGCCTTGTAGTGCAACGGTTATATCGAATGGTTGGGTATGGCAGACGCTGGCTCAAATCCTGCTGGTGCTAGCATTTTTCTGTTCTCTCCCCACTTATTTCTTGCCTGAGTGTTCTTAGCACCTTAATCAAGGACTTAGCTAAGTCTCGGTGCTGGGCTCAGGGGGTGGGCCCCCATGACTTAAGACCATGGACTTGGTACTTATTTGCCTGAGATTAGTTCTTAGCTTCGCTTAGACGGTCATGCCGTTTTGCTGATGCACAATCGACCCCGTTCCCGCAGCTCGAATGCTGGAACCTGTACGTCTACTGCGTAGATTCACATATATAAACCCGTATGTTACTCCATCCACCTCAAGGTGATATTTGTCTTGATCCACGTCCCCAGGTAGCGTCCGCATCGGGCCGCGCTGGTATCTCGCGGACCCGTCCCCGCCACAGGAAGTCGACGCTAGCCTTCCTGAAACGATACATCTGCTGCGACACCGACCAGCAAGAAGAGCGCGTGCTGGGGCGCTACCCCGAGATCAAGGCCCAGCTCGCGCGCCACGCCCGCAAACTGCTCGACATCGTGTTCATCGCGGGCCGGCCGTAGCACCCGGCCGCGGACTATCCGCCTCAAGAGGTCATCGACGCGCTCCTACCAGCCTTCGCGTTCGGTGCTGGCTGCCGCACGCGGAGAAGATGGCGGAGATCTCCCGGGAGGCGAAGCCGTATCTCGCTGCTGGATCCCTCGGAGGCGAAGATGTCACAGAGAAGATACGGCAAGTGCTGCGAACGAGACCTTACCCGGTGTCTGGAAAAGAGTATCGTTTATTCTGATGAGGCGACCCGTCTTTCGTGGCCTGTAAAGTCTCAGTATTTAGGGTCTTAGGGCCGGGCGTACGAAAGGGAATTCTGCGTGCTCTGATTGGCTGGGAATTCCCTACCGTTCAACCTTTTGCCCGGCCCTAAAGACTGCAACTCCCAAAGAGATGCATGTGTCCTCTATTTATTATATCCATCTTTCATTCACTTTCTCCGCAATTCCGACGGGTGGCCATCTTGTAGACAGGCACAATTTCGTTTCACGACCACGACTTCGCCGTGGTCCAGAAATTCATAATACATTCAAGGAACGCGATTGCATTAACTTCCGTTAAAAGACATGATACCCATTAACTGCCACTACAACCCCCCGACCCGACTCTCGGTCCAAAGACCAGCAGAGCTGCCGACCCCTCCTGCGAGGCAGTCCGCATCCTCTCCTCCAAGTAACGGCGGCGGGAGAGCGTTGAGACTCCCGCACACGTCACAACCATCGTCTCCACCAAAAGGGACGTTGAAGATCCCCGGGTCCACTCAATTTTTTGGCGAGGCGCGTTGAGGCCGTCTTCATCACGTTGAGATGATTTTGAGGGAGATAGATAATAGCCACCAGCGCTTAGTAGCGGTAGTGGAGCGCCTTGTACGGGCCGTTGACGGGGATGTCGAGGTACGACGACTGCTCGGGCGTGAGCTGGGTCAGCTTGACGTTGAGGTTGGCCAAGTGCGCGCGCGCGACCTCCTCGTCGAGCTCCTTCGGGAGCATGTGCACGCCGAGAGGGAACTTCTCAGGGGTTGTCCAGAGGGCGATCTGAGCCAGGACCTGGTTCGCGAAGGAGCAGGACATGACAAAGGACGGGTGGCCGGTTGCACAGCTAATAAGAGAGGTTTAGAACCAGTGGTGGGATGGGCAAATGAAATGGAACATACCCCAAGTTGACGAGACGGCCCTCGGCGAGGAGGATGACGTGACGGCCGGAAGCCATGGTGTACCGGTCGACCTGGGGCTTGACGTTCACGACCTGCTTAGCGTTAGCCTTGAGCCATGCAACGTCGATCTCAACATCGAAGTGACCAATGCTACACAAGGAGTTAGATGTAAGATCCAGGTGGCTGAAGGCAGCCACTTACTTGCAAACAATGGCATCCTCAGGCATGACATTGAAGTGCTTGCCGGTGATGATGTCCCTGTTACCGGTGGTCGTAACGAAGACGTTGGACCGCGGAGCAGCATCCTCCATGGTCGTCACTTCGTAACCAGCCATAGCAGCCTGCAGGGCGTTGATAGGGTCGATCTCGGTGACGAGCACACGGGCTCCGTACGACCTGAGGGACTCGGCGCACTACAGAATGCGTAAGTTCCTATAAGACGCGGAGAAACGGAACCCCAATGCTACTTACTCCTTTTCCGACGTCGCCGAACCCAGCGACAACGGCAACCTTCCCGGCAAGCATGACGTCGGTTGCGCGCTTGATACCGTCGACCAGGGACTCCCGGCAGCCGTAGTAGTTATCGAACTTGGACTTGGTAACAGAGTCGTTGACGTTGATCGCAGGGATCTTGAGCGTGCCCTCCCTGAACTTCCTGTACAAGTGGTGGACACCGGTGGTGGTCTCCTCGGAGACACCCTTGATGTCCTTAAGGTACTGCGGGTACTTGTCGTGGACGAGGGCAGTCAGGTCACCACCGTCGTCGAGGATCATGTTCAGGGGCTGGCCATTAGGGAAGGCGGCGAGCGTCTGCTCGATACACCAGTTGTACTCCTCCTCGGTCTCACCCTTCCACGCGAAGACGGGGATGCCAGTCGCGGCGATGCTGATCGGCCGATTAGCTGAGGACGCACACAGACGGGGGGCTGGCGAAGGCACTCACGCAGCGGCGGCATGGTCTTGGGTGGAGAAGATGTTGCAGGACGACCAGGTCACTTCAGCACCGAGGGCGACCAGCGTCTCGATGAGGACGGCAGTCTGGATAGTCCTATCCGGGAGAACATTTCATCCATGGTCAATCGATGGCACCAGCTGACCTACGGCAAGCGGCAACTTACATGTGCAGGCATCCTGCGATACGCGCTCCCTTCAAAGGCTTCGAGGCGCCGTACTGATTTCTTATCGTCAACGCACAGTTCGCTTTTAGAGGCGAGCTCGCTGACTGACCTTCTGCCTCATGTACATGAGACCGGGCATCTCATTCTGAACAATGTCCCACAGCTTCAGCGACGATTTTCTGGAGGAGAGATAACATCGATCCTACCTCAGCAATTTCGATCTCCTTGCGACCGAAAGCGGCCAGAGAAATGTCTATACGCTGTGATTAACGCAGGCTCTGGCTCGATTACAAGATTATATCTTACCAGCAACCTTGAAAACCATTTGATTAACGAGAGGGGAGCGGTCTGGGATGTCCTGGGGAAAGAGGTGGGTGGGAGGATGATACGGAGGGATGGTGCAGCAAAATGGTACCACGGGCTTTATATAAGGAATATCCCCAAGTGGGAATTGCCGGACCGGTAGAATGCTTACTTCGATTCTTCGCGTCCGGTGGCCCAGTCCTCCCAGGATCCCCTTCTACATGTCCCAAGCTCATACTGATCCCGGCAAGAAATGTCGCCTAGCAGAACTCGTACAATATACATGCAATATTGACACAATCGACGAGGGCGTGCCCCGCCTGCACTGCTATCCCATTCTCCGAATATTCAGGATGTGAGTGCCGTCGCAGCAGCGGCTTTAGAACGGCTGAAGGAGCGCCTCCCAGGTGTCCTAACAGACCAGCCGTCGAGATCACCAAACTTGTGAACTTTGATCCCGCAACTGGGAAAGTCGAAATCCCACCCGAAGCAAGGTCAGTTATTGTGGGACAGGCGTCCGACTGAGGACCTTCTCGGTTTTGATGCGGCCCCCAGCCAAGTACTGCCTAAAGGGAAGCCGTGGCGCGACGTTGCTCGCTATGAACAAAAATTAGACGGCCAGTCTGGCCCGGAGACGAAGGTCTCTGGCTTGCCATGAGCTAGAGGCGTTTCGATGTGGCTCAGTATCCTCTGTCTAAGAGGCATATATACGCACTCAGGTGGGGTCGCAACCAGTGTCCATGGGTCTATTATGATGTCTATTACTTTACAAGAACAGGATACAATTGCTATTCGCTTATGCGTAATTATGAAATAAAGGAGAGGAAGGAAACATGTCTAGCTAGGTATAGTATTACAGGGTATAAACAGGAAAGCAATGACTGGACGACGGATAGCTAATGCAACAATGAATGGAGGAGCGTTATTGATAACATCCGGCAATGCAAGGTAATGGGCGAAACATTTGTGCTTGGTATAATAAGACAACAGACCGAAGTTGAAGTTTCTCGAATGAACCATCCTGATCAGCTCTCTAGCTGCAGAATTTTAGCGGCGCTCATCAGGCCTCCTCCTGGACGCCGACACCCCCGCCATTACCTTCTCCTCCCAAGGCTTGGCGCCCTCGCCCTCGATCCAGTTGCCCGTGATGGGGTCGCGCTCAAAGTCGCCGTCGCGGTACCCGTAGCGCCTCTCCAGCAGCTTCAGCAGCGGGTTGCGCAGCGCGGGGTCCATGCGCACGCTCTCGCCCGGGTGGTAGCTGCCGACGCCGTGCCGCGCAAGGCTCTCCTCGAAGAGCGCCTCCTCGTACGTGCACCCGCAGTTCAGGTACCCCGCGGGCGCCATCCGCGGCGGGTAGGTACGCCGCTCGCGCCGCGAGTCGTGCCACGCGCAGAGAGCGTTCCCCGCGCGGTTCAGCGAGCAGAATATCCGCACGCGGGCTTCCGTGCGGGCCTTCCACTCTGCCTGGAACGCGGCCGATCGCACGGGCGTCGTGACGGGAGACGGGAGTTGTCCCAACGCAGACTGGAATTGCTGACCATAGGAGGGTCCCTTGGCGGCAGAAGTGCCGGCCATGAGCTGGGAATTGGCATACTCTAGGTCCTGCACTCTAGCGCGCAGGCGCCGGATCTCCGCCTCGAGCACCTGCTCCCTGGATGGAGCACGGCTAGCGGTCGGCTGCATCATGCTGGGCGCCGACACAGGATAAGCACCGGGAGCGGCCACGACCCGGGAGGGCTGCGAGTACCCAATCTGCCCCACTCGTCCCGAGAGGAAACCAGGAGAGTCAGGTGAATTAGACGACGGTGAGATATTAGAATAATTTTGCATAGTGTATTGTGGTTGCTCGTATTGTAGGTATGATTCCGTGGGACTGTTGGACGTGTGCGTGGCAGAAGGAAGGAAAGGCATGGACCCGGCTGGGTCTGTCATCGTGTAATCGGGGCCTTGAGCCCACATCATGTTTTGCGTAGCGGGGTCCGAGTGGTAGGCGAATGCAGGGGGAGATGATGACCCTGAGGTGTGGGAGGATATGTGAGCATCGCCCATGGCACCGGTTAGACTGGATGTTGTCAAGGTAGAGCTGGACGAGTGAGGTCGGGCGTCAGTTGTGTGTATGGGATGGCGCAGGTACGTCTGAGAGGTGTGCCACCCGTTAGTCCTGGATCGGGAAGACAGTGCCGGTTACTCACCTCCGGGTAGTGGGCGGGGTATGAGGCATACTGATGCTCCTCGCTGTCTGAAGACGCTCTCCTTGAGGTGCTTGGAGAAGATCCCAGCTGTGCGCCCTGCAGATCTTCGCTTTTGACGCCGGACGCGGGCCAAGAATGGTATGGTGGCTGGGCCATTATGCTCTTCTTCCCTTCTTTCGGACCTGGCGGATCGAGATAGTGGCTCTCACGTGAGGACGGACGTCGAGCTCGCTTGGTGGAGGGGATGGCTGTGAAGTAAGCGCGTCTCGTATTTTCAGACCCAGGACTTGAGGCCGGACGGGTAGGGAATGACTGGGAAAAGGAAGGTGAGGATGGTGGCGACAGCAGACACAGCGCTGTCGGATCTGAGGATACCTCGGCTTTGATACCTACTGAGGATGTAGACGGAGGGCATTGAGACGAGTTAATATACTGCTGGTTGTCCTGCATAGGACGTATAGGCAGTGTCAGTCAATAGACAACGACAAGTAAAAGGGCACGAGTAACGACGTTGATGCAGCGCAGGCAGCTCCTATGCGATGACGGTCGGGCAACGGTGAGATGATCAAGGCAGCAGAGAGACCGGATCTGCTAGTGCGGTGCAGTGAAGTTGGCGACTTTATGGATAACGCGACAGGCTATACATCATCGTCATGTGCGAACGTCTATCAGTCTGTCCATAAGCGAGTCTCACCATCATATTGAGGTTCATCATATTTCGGTCCACATTTGTGATCGACCAGTATAACGGAAGAAATACTGGTGGTGCCTATTTCTCGCGGGCTAATAATTCGGCGTGTCCAAGCCCGGAAGGCAGACGATCCAGGTTCGGCGGGCATCCATCGACATGATGCAAGCCGTCTGTTCCTAATGAGCATACGGAGACGGTCATCAGTATAGCCACGGCTTAGGACTGTAAGGGGTATTCTCAGGCGGCGGCTTTTTCCATTCTGGCTAGCCCACGGTACGCAAATAGCAAATTCGAGGCCCGACCTGCTGCGATTATGATGGTCTATCGATCCTGAGGCTGGGAGGGTGTCCGAGCGGACAAGCTCCCGCCTTGCCGACGCTGACTCGTGCTGTACTACTGAATATTGTCCCTCGAAAGTCTTTGTCGACTTACCGGTTGGTCTGACAGTCTCGGTAAGGTTCTCGACTGTCAACGCAGGCAAACAGGATCCCTGCAATATTCAAGATGAATACGTATTGCAGACCGCGTCGGACTGTAAATCTACTAGAGGAGTGGCTTCTCGATCGCGTGGCGGCAAATCTCAGATGCGCAAATCTTGCACAAGGATTGACGGCCGTTCTCGAGGCCCTGGCGCTGGTGTGGATGAGATTGCATCAGATACTACTCAAACTCGACTGCTTCATGGAGGAACAGTATCTGAGTCCGGAGGGGAACAGCGAGGGTGGAGGAGGTGTTGGCGAAAATGCTTGGCCAAACTACGATTCCTGAAAGTGCATAATATCCGGCTTACGTGGACATCAGGGATCACGAAAGACTGCGAGGAGCGGCTCGGCAATGCGACAGGATCAAGTCCTTAAGTCCTACTGCATGACGGCACAACGCTTGAGCTGCAGAAACGGTGGCTGGTATCGGAGAATGGGAAGCCGGAGCTGCCGCGGAGCGTATAGCACGATTCGCATCGTATCCTTGATGGCGCGCCACAGCCACTAATAATGTTGGTTGCGAGAGGCGTCGTAAGGAACAAGACGAAAGTCGGCCAGCTTCGTGACATCTGCCCTGGGACTCTTGAGTGAGGATTAGCATGATGCGATGCGTACGGTAACCTCTTGTAATTCGCATTTGGGACGAGGTCTGTAAGGAGCTAATTCTGACTGCTCGCCATTACAGCTAGCACAGCCCACTGCAAATCTACGAATGTGTCGGTGGTCTAAGTTAGGCGGAGTATCTGCATGCCGCCTTATGAGGAGGAGCCCATAGGATGGATCCGTCGGCATACATCTCCTGCTGCATCTTGCGAGCTTCGACTTCGAGTCCGCTGCCGATGCGCGAATCTGTATCAATCGGGGCGATTACTTATATTCAAACACGTAAGCCAGCAGTAAGCATACTGCAAGCCACTCAGCATGATGAGGTTGACCTTACATGGATGCAACGATTAGAACGGCCAGACCTCGCCGCTCCCTATTTTACTGTAAGGTGGCGCGTCGATCGGGCATAACGTGGACGGATGACCATAGAGCACCACGCCAAGGTTACCCCAATAGCGATAGAGTGAAGGTGGGAGGCGACTACTGTTCATCCAGTATTACAATTGCGTTGGAAGTAGAAATTCAGCTGAGTGTGCAGAGGTGTCCCGGTAACCGTGGCCGTCGCAAAAAACGGAGCTTGGCACAGGGGATTTTTGACGGCCAATCCTGAAGCATTGATGTGCCCTTGAAGGGCGCAGCCCTGCTATGGTATCGTTGCTCGTCCAATGGAGGTAGAGATATGATCCACCGTCGGATGTCCGAGAATTTGCCCTCATGTTGAGCTGGAACCCTGAAGGTCAGACCGAGGGCATTCAAAAAGTACGAAACAGGTTCAGGGCCTCGATTACGGAGTAGCGAATACACCCGGGCAGACAACGCACAAATGAAAGGCTGTCTGGAAGGACTAAGGTCGCGAGCAGCATCGGATTCAGAATAATGAATGAGGTTTTAGGAACGCATCTATCGGTGTTCCCACGGCACCATGCGGACGTGCGACGTCCTGAGTGCGAAGTGCCTTTCTATTCTGAAGGAGGAGGAGAGTGTATGGAGCTTTTGTTGCCATAAATGATAATAATCACTCACTCCAGTTTTGTGTCCTGTAGGCAGCGTCAAGTCATTGAGCACCGTAAACAGTGCAAGATATTTCGGATATTAAATAAATACTTCGATCGGGTGCAGGGTAAGGGGCGGGAGCATATGTAGCACAAAATCCTTTCTGGACTCGGTTTAACGAGTGTGGCAGGTTCTTCCGGCTTTACTAATATCCGTGCCAGTGGCGAGCGGCATTGTCCGGTGACGGACGACTCGGAGTGACTCAAGACTCGACGCGTCCAGGACGCGTCGTTCCATTGCTTCACGGCTGTACGCTCTACGACGGCGAACGGGATCAGTACTGACTAGTTCTGGCGTGCTAGTCTTGCCTCCTTCTCAGATGTTGTGGATGATGCATGGTCTGTCGGCTTGTCTACTCGTCTCATGGTCTTTGGCTGTGAAGCCGGCGGAAGCTTTTTCTTGGACAAAGCCGCGATTGCCAACCCAGGAACCTGACATTGAAGGGGGTACAGCGAGTTCCTCGATTGTTTCTGCCGGTAATTGCATCACAGGGCTCTCATCTCATGCTTGGATACCTACGTCTCTGCAGAGCTGGCCTTAAGCGGTTTGAAGCCAGATGAGGTGGAGATCCTCTTTCTCCGCACCAGTGAGTTACGTCGTGCACAGTAAGACGTGCATATAGCCTGAAATCCTGCGAGACGCGTTGGACGACTATGCTCGCAAACCCGACTGTTTCAAGCGGGCCGCAGGTCTCGTGCGCAGCCGGTGCGGGGAGGCTGATATGGACGAGCATGAGCGGGTCAAAGGTAGGATGTGACCCTTCATAGCAGTACCGCGGCTCATGGCGGCTCAGCTGCCATTGCTCTCACCTTATGTGAAGTCTCGACGGCGCGACATCACTCTGTACCGATGGAGTGCCAGGTGTTCGGATCAGGCGCCGCGTCCATAACTGAAAGTAACCCAGAAGATTGCGTGGAGTACGTGTAACATGCTTCAGGAACGACGATGTTGTTCACGCGATGATACCAGAGCCCTGTCCCGGAGTGCGCAATTTTGGTCAAGTTACTCTGGATATCTTCGTGAAGTCCGTGAGTACTTATTCTCACCTCCATTGCTAGACGAAGCAGTTATTGACCAACATACAAAAGCGCAATTGTGTTACGCGTTCCGACGGTGGAACGACATCGGTTAGTACCGCTGTTCAAGATGGAAAGCGTTGTATTAACTACTAGGCACCAATGATCTCAGACACGGCCAAAGATATCTATAGAAATGCGACCTTGGAAAAGATGGCTCTAATTCGCTTCATGGCAAACCGTGAGAAGACCTTGGATCGGAGTCAGGAACAATGGAAAGCCTTGGGAGAGGTAGGGACCCCTGCTTCAAGTCAGCTCACTCACGCACTGACATAGATTAATTACAGAATATGTCTAGTATGCTAGGTAGCCTGCGGCATACCGCGGCAAGCCTTGATGGAGCGTCTCGAGATGTTCTGAGAATGATGAAAGACACATTTCAAGACGTGAGGTCGCGGCATGCTCCTGCTGGTCCCCTCTGACCACCCGTCTCAGAGTTCGATGATGCTCCACGCGTCCCTCGCGGATGTAGAACACCGCATGCAGACAGGCACGGCTCAATATATGTCTCAGGTAAATCGAGGCCGGACAACGCTGGACTAAATTAATGTTATTGTAGATGGGGACGGCTGTCGACGCCATCTCGGAGAGGGTGAGTTGACTGGTAACTCTCGATTCCATTACCGATAGTGATGTCTTTCTCAGCATGCGCTCGCTTTGTCCGCGGTGATGCAGTCTATGGAGGTTACTCTCTCATCTCGCCTCGAAGTTGTGTTCCTACCATACAAACAGAGGAACGAAGAGATGCTCGCGCTAACGGTGAGTTCACCGTTGGATTGGCCTCCTGTCTTCTTCCCATCATGACTTGATCAGAGAGAGATCAGTCAAATCTGGGAGAATATGATTTCAGATTTTATCTCGATGCAGAAGGTAGAGAAGATGCCCTCAAGTTCTTTCTTCTGTGACGGAAACAATATTAGGCCGTTAGCCAATTGTCCGACGTAGCCATCCACGCGGCAGAGCATTTGGACGCATATTCTCAGCAGGCACAGGTTGCTCACGAAACGCAGATCGAGGCTTCTCGCTCTGTCGCAGAGTTATCTCAGGTAGTAAGACAGCTCACAACCACAGCGCACACCGAACTCGAGAGCATCAACAATACCGCTCTGGCACTGAGGGACGGTCTCCGCGCTTCTGACGCTGGCTGGATCGACTCCAGTGTGCTTCCACTGATAAGGATGATCCTCCACGGTGCGTCGTATGCTCGTCCTAGAGACGCAAATCAGGAGCTTCTTCGTATGCAGTTGATGCGGCTCACTTCGACGATCTCACCCGGATCCCGATGTTCAAGATTGGACTTGCCATCTTCCGGATCGCCTGCTACTTTTCGCAATCAGTATTCTCGACCATTATGGTTGTCCCTCCCTTGTTTTCCATCTGCGTTGAAACTCTGACCTAGCATATGCAACCTGAAACAGAGCGTACTTTTCGTTGTCCTGTCATCGAGGCGCTGGCTCTCTAGGCGTGGACTCCGCGATCGCCTCTTCGGCGAGGAAACTTCGTGCACTTCGCCCTCACTTGCGACACGGCGGGCAGGGAAGAACGAGCACTCTCCTTTGGACGATCTGATTGGGCCGCTTCCTTCGTCGATGGTGTCTGATCTGGAGGTCTCTGCGTGTTCTTCTATTCCTTGTGCTTGCCTGGACACTGTACCAATTCGTTCTCGTCGCCGGCCTCGTCTGTCACGTATACCTCCGAGGCTCTACAACAGTGGTCCTCGCCCGGCTTGAACACTGGCATGTCTATTGTCACATTCCGCTTGGCCGTCAAAGCAGTCTGCATATCACTCTCCCTCGCATCATCAAGTTGTGTTTCATGTCGCATCTGTTCCGTGACCGTCGCTGTACTCTAGGCTCCAGCTGTAAAGACCTTTGACCTACTCTGTCGTCTAATTCTCCATGTCGTGTATTGTTATCTTCAGTTGTCTGTAAATTAATAGCAAGTGTGGTTCTTCAGCGTCGCTACGGTTGTCCGCAGCTGATCTTCAAGCATAGCCAGGGTGTTGGTTAGTATGACCGTCGCATGACTACTGAATGCTGTTTGCGGCATGGGCTGTGTTAAGGTCGCCTTTGCATGTTGCGGCCTAGCGACCTCCGTATAGACGCAGACGAATTTATCTCTATCTCTGCCTAAATACAATGTCAGTACGAGGTACCGCTATGTAGGTGACGCTCGTACATTTCTAAGCCACGTCGGCGATTGATCGGCTATGCCCGGTGGCACACCTCACCGTCGCAAGTGACTGCTAGTAACTTGCTCACAGCTCTGGTAGCGCCCACTGCCACACCCTCTTTCCCCGGCGCTACTAGACACTGGCGACGCAGACGGCGACAAGCTATAGCTGCGGAAGGGTCCTTTGTTTTGAGTCGTGATCCGCCATGTTTCATTGTACTGCGCCACCCAAAGAGAAGGCTGTCGGACAAGTTCACCCCTGCTTTCCCGTAGCAGGTGTACCGGATTCAGCATCCGGTGCACCCGCACGGGATGGGAAGAGGCACGGGTATCCGGATAATGCGACGGCAAGGGAGCAGGAGAGATTTGCGCGTCGCCTTGTGCCAGGTCCTCAACCTGTCGTACGTCTATGCGCATATCTTTCCTGAGACTTTGCCGACGCTTCTAACTCCCGTTATCAGGACGGTATCGCTGTTACCGAGCCATGCTTTGAATATCTTGCCGGCATGTGCAGGCGAGGACAACGATGCCCCCGGTTCCACATTGGATCCAATGTAGCCGTCTGGCACCATCAACCTACTCCGTCGGTGGATCCTCTCGACCACAAGCACGCTCGCGTACTCGTCGCAAACAGCGACCCATGTCGAGGATCAAACGACAAAGGACCTTACATGGAAGTTCCTGTTAGAGACCACTTGCTATGCGAGCAAAGTGACCTCATTGACCGCGAGAAATCCTTGCTATGGAATGGAGAGTCTCTGAAGTCCACCTTTATCCCTTCTGGCATATGTCGCGACTACGTCCGTGGTAAATGCACTCGCGAACAGTGCCGACACCTTCATTCATTGCCTCACGATCTCGCGAGGCATTCCCCTCCACCTCCGAGGATCCCTGGTCCCCGGGGCGGACACATCCAGGGTCAACACTCTTCTCGAGTGGAGAACCGATTCGATGCCAGAGATAGACGTAACGAAGGATATTCTCCTTTGCAATACTCCGTCACCTCCAGTACCGTCCGCTATGTAGATAGATCCGACCCATCACTACTGGTAGATCGCATTCGGGGGCACACGGTTTCCGAGATATCGAACGGATTCCCCTCTGAAGGACGGTGCTATAACCACCCAGAGCACTCGGGACATCTGTTCTCTGCAACGCCGAGCTCATTTGGCGCTCCGAGCACATCTTGTCCGGAGGTAAGTCAACGTCCCTCGGGCACTGCTCATCTTATTGATCCATTGATAACGGGACTATGTGGCGCAGGTGCGCTCACCAACTGCGGTCCCTCTACCGAAAGAGAACGGCGAGGCGCAAGAAATTCGCGTTATCTCCGACCGCTACGCATCTGTAGAGGTCGGTCATGCGCGTTTGACGCGGAGTGTCCAGCGAATAGACCACCGACCACGACTTACTCCCAAGGAGGTGAATTTTCTCCTCGAGCGGTCGAGGGGAGTAGTGTTCACGTCTCTCTTAGGACATGAAAGTGCAACAGCTAAGACTTGCTGGCAGTGCTCATGTTGCTTGCCAGCAGCTGGTAGAGGTATTCCCGGAATCCTAATCCTGTATCTGCGCAGCTGATTGTTCGGTTGGGCATGCAGTTGATCAATCAACCGGGGCTACCGCCAGCGCAACTGGCGGACTCTCCAAGGGCTGGGCTCACGGCTAGGGATGAATGTCTCAAATCGACACCGCAGCCAAGTCCTCCTCCGACTCGTGTTACATCCGACGCTCAAGGGAGTCCAATAATATATCATCAACGACTCCAGGTCTGCGTGAATTACCTGCGTGGTAGGTGTCTCTCGGGCAGTAAATGCCATCGTATCCACATGTATACGCCATGCGCTCGACCGCCCGTAAAGGCCGTCACATCACCTATCGCCAGGCCTGGCTCTCAGCTCGATAGCCAGAGATCGGCTTTGAAAATAGCCGATGCACCCTATCCTATGCTGAAGCCACAAGGGCCTAGCGGACTATCGCGTGCCGTTCCTTGTAGCACGGAGCAGCCAAAGGTAAACGTACCCGTTATGGTTGATCTAGTATGGTGGGAACTCCGAGTTCTTATGTACTTTCTAGCAAGTGCCTCCAGAAGCCACAACCTCCGACACTCCGGGGGTGGTGCAAGGGATGACTGCCGCAGTACCGGGATCGTCCCTCGCTCAATATGTTTCACCGAACCAGGTGTCGGAAACACTTGGCGGCTCACGAGTGCCCATCCGAAGGGAGACGATGGTGAGTCAGAACTGCCCGACGCCTGCGCCCGCCTCCTGCCCAGTTGAAGTTCGATCCGTTCCTCGAGAGGACGAGGCACATACTGTCAGCGGCCAAACGGAAGCCCTTGAGCATCAGATGCCTGTTGTAAACTCGATAACAGAAGTATCAGTGGCATCGACCGCTGAGCAGACTTTCGGAGTTAAGTTGCCTATAGGGAAGGCTCCGATGCGCCGTCGACACAAGCCTTCTAGGAAGGCAGCACAATCTGGACTGCGAGTTACTGATGATGCTATCGATATACAGACTTGGCCGGCCCAAGGTACGACCGATGCACAGTCCGGAGACAGTTTCGCGACGACCAGTGTCGGGCTTAGGGGCACAGTGGAGTTCGAGCGCGTTCCCTTCAATGTACGGTTACCGAAGAAAAAAAGTCAGGCGCTGGCCCCCCACGGTAAATTGTCGCATGGTGACGTTGCGAATTGTTGTGCCGTACCTCCCCCTTTGAAGGTAGTCTTCCTTGGGAAACTGTCACCCTTGACTCTACTTAACGTCTTGCACAACAGGAAGACGTGCGAAACCGACCACCTGACGTTTCACTTCAGAAGCACGGACCTGACGGACGGAGGGCCTCTCGATCTGCACGCGTTGACGATCAGCGATCCCCGCGCGCTACATCCAGTACGCCGGAGGACAGTACCGAACCGTCTCGAGTTTATAGCCTGGTGTGTTGGTTCACGCTGTCTGTCAGGAGAATCTTTTTCTGAACGTTCCGTCACTAGGGTGAGGCATCAGATGTTGAAAATATCATCGTCTTCAATTCGACGAAAGTGCGCTTTGGTCCAGGATTCATCGTGGAAGATGTGTGGACTTCCTTCGAGTCCTACTGGGTCATCTTAAGCAACGTACCTCGAGGTACAGAAGATAGTCAAGTGCAGGAAATTCTCAGCCCCTTTGGAGTCGTTCGCGAGCTTCATAAAAGTTTTGACCGGAACCATCAAACAACGATGTCTTTCCGAGCCCGCTTCAATGATACGAGGCAAGCGGCGGAGGCAGTTGCCGTATTGAACGGTGCTGAAATACTGGACACGGTCATATACGCTCGGACGCCCCCGAACAACATGAAATCTGGACGGGCCGAGATCAGAGATACTGGTCTACTGTTCACTTGGGATGCACCGAGCTGGACAGGTTATGCGGGATATGCGACTCTCAGTGAGGCACAAAATGCCATAGGGGCCGCCGAGAGGGACAAGAGGTGGGGAAAGGCCATAAGGGCATCCATACATGATGGCACTCCTGTGCTCGGTGCCGTCACTGTCGCCTTCCGGGGTATGCCGACTGATCTGAAGGTAACCTACCTCGAAAACTTTGGACAGCCTGACGACACAATGCATCAGGCCGAGAGAACCCCATCGGCCACACAGGTGGCTGGGATTATTCGTCGGGAACTACAAAATCTAGGACACTTGGTATCCTTTTACCAGACTCCGGCACCCTACAGAGACGGAAAAGTTTACGTCCAAGCGTACTTTCGCGATGCGCCTTCTGCGAAGGTAGCACGCGATCATTTCATCGATCCAGCACAACCCATTGAAGGACTGGAGAGCGTCTCTATGTCTGTCGAACACCTGCAATATGTCGCTTATACTGTGGGTTCAGACATCTTCAAGGTGCTGCAGGCGGACATCGAAGACCTGCGTACAACGTCTGGAAGCGACGACCCTAAGAATACGATTGAGATCTCGCAGGAAACACCATACACTGTGGATGTGGAACTACATGGATCTGATTTGAAGAGTCTCAGCAATCTGAAATATGGCTTCGAGCGCCTGCTCCGAGGTGAAGTCATGAAGGAGGATGGACAGTATGTCTGGGACCCCTTCTTTGCCAATCATGCCGGAAGCGAGTTCCTATTTAAGCTGCAGGAAACGTACCCGGACGTCAGGATTCAGTGCTGTAAACGGAAAAGGAGGATCACTATATTCGCGTCTCCTTCCAAGAGACAGGAAGTTAAACGAGCGGTTCTCGAGCGGATAGAGGAACTACGTCGCTGCAAGACACTGCGTATCCCAATACCAAGGAGACTGATTGGACGGTTCGTGAAATGCAACCTACCTTTGCTCCAGCAGAAGATCGGTCAAGAGAACCTTTCCGTGGACTACGCATCACCGGCTGTGGTGGTCAGAGGTGATAGCGCCTCCGAGTTGGTGCGGGTTGCTGTACAGGAAGCCCTCCACTCAACGGGCCCAATAAGGGCTTCGAGCACTTCCGAATGCCCTGTATGCTTGGACGAGCCGATTGCGCCAATCGTCCTCCGCTGCGGACACGCTTGGTGTAAAGTTTGCCTCTCGAATTATTTCTCAGCAGCTGTGGAAGGTCGGTCGTTCCCGATGACTTGCCTGGGCGACGAGGGCTCATGCACCTGCCGCATCCCCGTCGCGGTCGCTCGCGAGGTGCTGACCTCGGACGAGCTGGAGGAGCTGGCTGCCGCAGCCTTCACCGCGCACGTCTTTACCCATCCCGAAGAATACAAATGGTGTCCCGGGCCCGACTGCGAAGAGGTGTACCGCAGTGGCCCACCAGACACGGTGTTACAGTGCCCGCGCTGCCTGCGGAGGATATGCGCCCATTGCCACGTCGAGCACCATGAAGGCATGTCGTGCGCGGAGCACAAGGCGGGGCTCGAGCCCGAGTTCGCTCTGTGGCGAGCGGGACATGACGTGAAGAATTGCCCAAAGTGCAAGACAGCTATCGAGAAGGTGGACGGGTGCAACCACATGATGTGTTCTGTGTGCCAGTCCCACATCTGCTGGGTATGTCTAAAGACGTTTGTCAGAGGGGAAGGCGTCTACGATCACATGCGAGCAAAACACGGGGGTATCGGTGTCTGATGCCGCACTTACCGTTTCTTTCCACATCGTTTCGGACATTGATCTCGACGTGGAAGTCGTCGCAGCATATAAAGGAGAGATCGTGTACAACAAGAGATATATTCTGGAATGTATATTACAGTTGTGCTTGTAGCTTGCATTTGTACTCGTACAGCGTCTTCTTTGATATATAGGCACGTTGATAGAGAGACACATAAAAAAGACAAGAACCGATCCCGATAAACAATTGCAGTCCGAGTCTCGAAACTTGGTGGGTTGGTGTTGGTGGTGTGACAGATAATGCATACACGGACGGCTACACATACGTATACTGTACAAACTAAACAATCGGGTAAGCACACAATGCAACCAGAACGGAACTCGTGGCAGACGTACCCGATCATACGGGATCCTGGGCGGCTGCCCCCTTAGCGGTATGCTCTCTGGTAGCTCCTGGCGCGACGCATCGTACGGCACGAAGCGCCCCTCGTGGTCGAGGTACCCCTCGCCCTCCGCGGGGTAGTCTTTCAGGTCGGGCGGGTTCGCGCGGTCGTGCGGCGCGTAGACGATGTACATGTCCGGCGTGAGGTAGTCCCCGCGGCGGTTCCAGTAGCCCTTGCGCACGCGTCTCCGCTGGGACTGTGACTGCGACGACGGCGGCTGCTGCATTTGTGATTGTGATGGCGTCTGCGCCTGGCTCCTCGTCTCCGGCTGAGAGTACGACTGTGGCTGCGTCGTCGGGGCCCTCGACTGCTGCGAGTACGACTGCACCTGTGCCCGCGTCTCCGGTCTTGACATCGAGTACGCCTCCCGCGGCCTCGAATAAATCGGCGCGCCGCTACCGCTCGTGCTCGTGCTCGTGCTCCCCGAGCTGTCCGAGCGCTGCGAGTATATACTCCGCACGCCGGGCGACACCTGCATCTGCGCGGGCGAGCGCGCGGGTATCCCAGGCGGCGGCGAGACGGCCGGCTCGGAGTGGTGCCGCGTGATGGGCCGCGCACCACCCGTGGTGTACGGCGGGTCCGCGGAGCGGGAGCTCGAGCCGGTGTAGTGCGCGTCGACGGTGTGGTGGTGCGAGCCGGTGGTGTACTTTGGCTGCTCTGCGGAACGTGAGGAAGAGTATTGCTGCGAACTGCTGCTATACTTTGGCTGGTCCGTCGAACGCGAACTGGAGTATGGCACTTCTGAGGAACGCGAACCGGAGTATGGCTGTTCTGTAGCACGCGAACTGGAGTATGGCTGCTCTGTAGAACGCGAGGAGGAATATTGCTGCGAACTGCTGCTGCTGTACTTCGGCTGGTCAGTCGAACGCGACGCGGAGTACTGCTGCTCCGCCGCACGCGAGCTCGACTGCTTCTGGTCGCGGGAACTTGCGCTACTGTATTGCGGCTGGGAAGTAGAGGTAGTGCGGGGCCGATGAGTATCCGTCGCACGCGCGGTAGAAGAACTATACGAGTCTGAAGGCCGCGCGGTCGTCCCCGAGCTGGAGTACTGCGTGTCTGAAGGACGGGAACTCGAGCTGGAGTACTGCGTGTCCGAAGGACGTACAGTCGAGCTTGAGCTTGAGCTGGAATACTGTCGGGAGTTGGTCTCCGCAGCGCGCGAGCTACTCCCATACCGGTCCCTATCCCGATCTCGCTCCCGCTCCTGATGTTGCTGCGAGCTAGAGCTAGAGCCATATCGTTCCCTCTCCTGCTGTGTCCCCGAACTCGACCCATACCTCTCGCGCTCTTCCTCACGCCGCATCGCCTGATCGAGCGTCGCCACCCGCGGCGTCGCGCCCACGAGTGGGCTCAGCAGGCCCGCGGGCTCCTCGGTGAAGCTCGCCGCGTTCGTGATATTACTCATACTCCCCGTACCCCCCAACCCCGAGGTGGAGATAGCAGGCACAGTAGCGCTGGCCCTCAGCGGCGCGCCCCTCGTCGGCGTCTCCGGTATGCTCCGCAAGCTCCCAGTCGCAGAACGAGTGTTGGACGTGGGCGAGGACGGCCGCGTGCGATAGTACTCGGGCGTGCGCACGATGCTCGGCGAGAACGTCGGCTGCAGCTCGCGCTTCGCCGTGAACACGTCCGGCTCCTTCTCCTTCTTGTGGTGGTGGTGGTTTCCGTGTCCGTCTCGGCGGTCGAGCGAGCCGTGTCGGCTGAGGGAGCTGGTCCTGGAGTTGGAGGCGGCCGTCGTGCGCGCGGGGTCGGGGGGCTCGGAGTTCTGCCTGCGGTGGTCGCGGGGTTGGTTTGATTGCGAGGTCGAGGGCTGGGTGGAGGAAGAGGTAGAGGCGGATGCGTAGTCCGACGCACGCCTCGCAGGCGGGAGGCCTTCTCGCGCGGACGACGGCTGCTCGAGCTCGCGCGGCGCCCACGTCCAGGGCGTGTTCGGCGCGTGCAGCTCTGCCGACTCATTCCTACATCCCAGTGAGCCGTGATCTGAGAGCACCGACCAGAGTACGTACCGTATGTGCATGTTCTCCAAGCCCAACCCATTATCCTTCAGCTCCGTGCTCCAATAGCTCGGGTCGGGCTGCTTCGGCACCCTCTTGTACGGGTTATAGCTCTGCGCCTGCGCCTGTTGTCCCTGCTGGGCGAAGCCAAAGTGCGCCCACTGCGCAAAGTTCGCGGGCATCTGGGGCGCAACATGCGCGCGGAACGCGGGGTTGAACACCCACTGGCCGCGCTGCCACGACTGCGCGTTGACGGGGACGCCGGGTGGAGGCGGGGGCGGGCCAGGGAAGCCGGGGGGCCAGGGACCGCTGCCCACGGGCGGCGGCCAGGGCCCGGACCAGTTGGGCGGGGGCGCGCGCGCGGCGAGCTGGTGGTATTGCTGCTGGGTCACGTAGGACATCGCGGGCGCATGCGGATGGGGCGGATGGGTGCTGGAGGTGAGAGAGTATAAGTATACAAGTCCAGATGTTGTTAGATTAGATACAAGGTGTAGTGGACAAGGCGATGAGTGATACACGTACCAGAACCCCGATTTGAAGCAGGCACGGACGCTTTCACAGTCTCCAGGACGGGATTCGTTGTGCTAAACGCCAATCGCCCATAGGCCTCGGACAGCCAGCGAGGTCAGACGCGGAAGGCGTTAATAGTCGGGAGATAGAGTTAGAGCACACTGCCTTTGCTCCCACAGGGTCGTTCGCGCTGGCAATGAGCGTCAAGGGCGGGGTCGGAGAAGGGTTACGTCTAGGGAGGCGGCGTGCGCGTCTGGGTCTTCGTAGCAGCCTCATGGCTATCTCTGTGAGGTCCTGCACAAGAAGGGGACTCGGCATCCATTTCGGATATGGAAGGTCGGTCAGTCGTCGGTGCGGGTGCCAGCAGTCATCAGGGGCGCGGACCTCCGACACTGCAAGCCTCTGGATTGATGAGCTGACGGACTCTGAACACAAAACAGAATCTGGATGAGTAACTTTTCAGACTTGAACTCACTGGTAAATGAGTCTCAACCTGGTTGAGATCAAAGTTGGGAGGAACTTGATTATGAACGACCAAGGAGTAGGCTTCGAGTGAGAAGTAAGTACATGGATATTGGGATCAGTGCAAGAATCTACTTATTTACCTCTGCGGATCCGAGCTCTCAGTGTATGCAGCCACCAAAACCGGAGCGAGCTAACTTGTACAGTAAGTACTAGGAACTTACCTTTCACCGGTCAGACCCTTCAGAATAAAGGGATATCCCAATATCAGCCCTCGTTGTGCTCCCCTGTGGTAACTGAGGACAAACATGGCACGAGCCGGTTAGTGCGAGGAGAAGGGTTGAGGTAGACTCAGTCGAGTGGGTGGTGGTGGTTGAAGGGAAACATTTGTTGGAAAGTCCCACCTCTGTCCTCTCTTTATATAAGGTCCCTGGATGAGGCAAACATCTTTGACACTTCCTTTGCTTCACCATCCTCCGTCGAAGCTAGACATATCCGAATCGAGTAGCACCCACTCCATATCCGGACGAGATGGTCCAGGCGGACTCCGCAGTCTCCGGCGGCGACTCCGCGCCAAGTGGCGGGAACCAGAGTATACGGTCATGATTGTTATTATACTTGCAGGATATTGAGGGAATGAAAGCATGCACTATCAGCCTTTGGGGTTTAAATACCAAAAATGCGTACAATATGCGGATTCCAGATGCCAGACGTAAATAAGTAAGTCAGCAAATCCAAACAAACAACGAACATCGAACGTAGAACACAGCGGGCCGTCATAAATTCATTACACACACCTCGACTCTTAAGCGTCACCCTCGCACCGCTCCTCACTATGGCTAGACAAACAACCGAAAGCAGTACCGCGTAAACAGCATCACCAATTCCACTCTTCCTCATCCTCTAGTTTCTTCCCAGCACTGACCACAGACTTGACCGCGGGCTTCGTGTCAGGCGTCATGACGCTCCCCAGCCCCGCGCCGACCCCGTCGCCGTCGTCGTCTAGTAACGAGGTACTGGTACCTGACGTCGAGCGCGAGACTGATGAGGGCAGCTGCGAGGGGGGTAGGGGGGAGGGAGGCACGGGAGAGGCAGGTGGTGGGAAGGACGAAGCGGGCGAGGAGGGCGATGCGAGTGCGGCGAAGACGTCCGAGAGGAGCGTGGACGCGCGTCTTTGGGATTTCGTGAACCTGGGTGTCTCGGTCAGCATCACTACGCCAACATGAGAGAACCAGGAAAGGTGGCAAGAGCAAAAGCACTCACGTCTCCCCCCGCTGAATCTCCTCCCACCGCTTGCCCACGCTCCCCACGCTGCCCGCCCAGAGCGTCGCGATGCCCGGTATCGACGGCGGGGGCAGCGCGCCCGCGTTCAGGCTTACGCTTGCTCTTTTGCTATGCTTTGGCTTGGAGTTGCTCGCGGTGCTGGGCGTGTTGGGTGTATTGGGGCTGGCGGGATGTTCTTTCGAGCGCCGGCGGAGCGTCTTGGCGGAGGGGTACGAGAGCTACATACGGACACATGTGTGTTAGTAAAGTGGGGGGAAAGCAAAGACGGAGGGGCGCACGGTGACGGTGTTATCCTCGTCGACCTCGCCGAGGCTCGACGCAGAGCTCTGCGAGAGCCTGTTACTCCCGCTGCTCGTCGTCGCGGTCGTGGCATACGTGGACGTGGAAGACGTCGACTCGCGCAGCGAGTGGCCTCTCCTCAACGCCGGGGACGCCGGGCCCTCAGCCAGTGGAGAAGCAGGGGAGGAAGGAGGCAAAGACGCGCGCTGGAGCCCGCGGTGCACGATGCGCTCCCACTTGCGCTTGAGCGCGACGAGCTCCTCCTCCTCCTTTGCGAGCGCGGAGCGCAGCTCGAGGCACTTGGACTCTTTCTGCGCGATAAAGTGCAGGAGGTCGGCGTGCCTGGGTGGCGCAGTGCGCTTTAGTTCGGTTTAGCGTATCGGATGGGATGAAATGAACGCACTTTTCGACGAGCGTGAGCGGGCCACGGTCCTGCACGAGCGAGCCCGTGCTCCTTCTATCGCCCTTCTGTCCGACGCCTACCGACCGGCTCCTGCTCAGCGACGGCGACTCCTGCTCGCGTTCACTGACATTATTGGAGGAAAAGTAGGATATGGATGACTGTCTCCGCGCGGACTTGGGCGCGGGCGAGATGGGGGTCAGCGGGGCCGTTACCGGGCCCGAGTTATATTTCGAGATCGGTGTCGACGGGGAAGCGAGGTGCAGCGGCTTCGGGCCCGCGACTGTGCGCAGGGGCCGAGACTGAAAAGGAGAGACTGCAGCGTCCATGGCAGACGACGAAGGAGAGTGGAAAGGAGAGGAGGGCGCGACGGTGAGCATCACGGTTGTTGGTAGCTAGGCATGGACTGCTGCGTTACGCTAAGCGACTTGGACGAATTAAGGCGATAGCTTCGGGCTTCCCCTTCTGCAAAATAATATCATGTATAACAAAAGGCTACGGTACAGCTACTGCGTCTGCTCGAACGGATTTATGTAGGTGTTTCTCGCCCCATGTAAGTGCAATATTCGACTGTCCAAGAGCCACCGGCACGGGCTCGAATGCCCTGCAAGTTACCCATTTCGCGACCGTACCCTGAGGGTCTGGTGGCCTTGCACACTGTTATTCGTGGAAGGACCGCACTCAGCAAGACATTTTGAAAAGAAAAAACAGTGTATTCTCAGCATCGTGATGCGGATCCATTCCGTCTAATACAGTGGAACACAAGCAGCAGCACGCGAGCCAACAATCAGTGCTTCGCGTCCTTCTCTGCCTCCTCGATGTACTTCTTGATGCTGTCCATCCTGTGTCAGTCGTTGATGACCGGCGTGAGTGAGCAGCATGGGGCGGGGGGACGTACAAGTCTGCTTCCTCTCTGCGTTCACAACAACAGAAGACCCGTGCAGTAATCTCGTCAGCATAGAATTCCGCAGATGACAAATAAGGTTGAGGAAAGGAAAGTAGGGGAGAGTAGAAGGGACAGAAGAAGAGGACGAGAAACGCAAACGCACTTTGAGCTGCTCTCGAACTTGACCGCCTCCTTCACATCCTTGGGCGCGTCCTTCTTCCCGCCCGTCGCACCGAGCGCGAGTGCGGCGGTGCCCAGCAGCGTCCCGATCGCGAGGTACTCGTTCTTCACGGCGCGGCCGAGGATCGTGCTGTTTTGTCCAGTTAGTTTTGTTGGGTTTAGTTGAATTTGGTAGTGGGTTAGTTGGTTAGTTGCGTATTGTGTGACAGGAAATTTCAGATATTGATTATTAGTTAGTGAAAAAGACGTGAATAAGATAGAGAACGAGGGGGACGCACTAGGATGCCATGGTGGTGGTTGCAGGTCGTAGGGCCGCAACGTCGAGCGAATTATCCGAGTGGGTGGTTCGGAGGTTGCCGGAGGGTTTAGGCGCCCGCTCCTCCTCCCGCCGCGGCTCGTTAAGTGCAGTAAAACATATGAGTTGTAAGTAAACTGTGTGATTGCCGGACGCAGACGATGATACAGTATCTAATCATTAGTAGCATGGCTATGTGGTACAGGCAGACATTACAACACGACGCGTACGTCCATCCGTAAAGTGATTCATACATACAGTACATACATAGCCCAAAGCGTCCCCAAGGCAAGCAAATGTTCAAGAGTTCAATCTAGCATCGTCAATCGTCAATTGCCATAAGATAATCATCACCTCTTCGGTCATAAGAATCACAAAACCAACATCACACCCAACCCAAGCGCCACCGCAACACCCACCACACCACACCCAATGCCCGCCCCCGCACCAGCATAATTCGCCTGCGGTGGCGTATATGACGCGCTCACACTCGGCGAGCTAGTCGTACTCGACGACGCCCCCGGCACCGCGTACCCGTCCCCCGTCTGCGTGGTGGGAGTGGGAGTGGGGGTGGGCACGGCCCCACCGGTGGTGTACGCGCGCACGTAGTTGATCTCGAAGTACGCGTTGTCGTACTTGGGGCTGCCGGGCCCGACGACGTTGTCGTTGTACTGCGCACAAGTCAGCAAAAAGGCGAGGAGAGGAGCGGAAGGGAGTGGAGACGCACGCAGAGGCCCGTCGGTCCCTGGCTGGCGCACGTTGGGTCGTACACGGGTGGTATCCCCGCCCTGTAAACCATAGTGAGGAAGAGTCGAGCTAAAGACAGGTAAGGAGGACGTACCAGTTCCCGCAAAGCGTGATATCCAGCACTAACTGCTGCGCGGTGAAGAACTCGGTGATGTTGCAGCTCGAGGCGGGGTAGCTCGCGCTCGGCGCGCCCCACTGCGAGAGGTCCGTGATGGACGAGTTTGCGGTGGCGTGCGTGATGCTCGCGGGCACGTCCGGTCTCTGGAGTCATAGCATTCAGAGGTCGATATTGACATGCAGGCAGGGTGCACGCACACTCCAAAACCATATACTTTGCCCAACCCATATCAGCACAAGCACACAAGAGAGTCACGAACACTCACTACACCCCCGAAACATCAAACTGCGTCGCCCACACGCCCCCACCCGCCTCGGCAAACCCGGTGAGGAAGCTATTCGGCTTCGTCTCCGCAACCACGCAACCCGCCGCGATACTACAATCCAAGTCCGCCTCGTTCGGCGCGCCCGATTCGACGTTCGGCTGCCCCGGGCCCGGGTGGAAGCACCCCGGCAGCGTGTGCAGCGCCATCTGGTTGTTCGGCATCACGTTCACGGCCTCGATGATATCGATCTCCCCGTCGTTTGGCCAGAGGGGGCCTTTAGTCCAGAACGCCGGCCAGACCTGGAGGAAGGGTTAGGGTTAGGGAGAGTAGGTGGAGTGGAAGGGAGGGGACGCACGGAGCATCCATACGGGATGTGCACGAGGTCGATGATCCAGAGACTCCCCACGCCGTAAGACGCCTGCGTGGTGATGCGCACCTAACCCGTATGTCGCGACGTTAATTCCCTGACAAGGCCTGCGCAGGTAGACGAATGCTCACAGAGTTGCGTTTTTGGTTGTACGCCACATTCGAGCTATTGTCCACCTTCAACACCGCCCGCCCTGCGCTATTCACCTGCGCGAGTCCCTGCTGCATCGCGTCCTGTCGGTCCAGCCACCATACGTCGCCTGCGAAGCGACACGTCCATCAGCACACTATTTTTCGAGGATTAGCATACGTTGGAGACGTACCGAGAGTGAGGTTATCCCAGCTCCCGTAGAAATCCCAGCCGTCGAAGAAGCTTTCGCCCGAATAGTCATGGACAAGGTCGTACGCGGAGGCAGCGCCCAGAAACCACAGCAGCGAGAACATGTTCCGTCTCATCCTAATAGTCCAGTCCGAGGAAATGACAGCGATCGCCGAGCAGCAGAAGCGTCGGCCGGAGAAGCACTATATGTATAACAAGCCAAGGGCAGTGCTCGAGCTCTGCAAGTCGGACGGTCGAGGCAGGTGGATGACGTTCGAGAAAAGCACGCTCGGGCGCCAGAAAACTGACCTCATCGCCCCCATATGTACTGCAGCGGTCGAGGGACGCCCGGGCACGAGGACGTAGGGCGCACATTGTGATACTGGATCTGTCGCACTGCGCAGAGCTCCGCTCCTCGTGTTGGGTCACGTGACTGTTAAGCTTTCGGACAGGATCAGACCGCGAGGGAGGAATGTTCGGACGAGTTCAAGGAGCCCAGGATGGATTGGTCTGAGGTCGCGAGGAGAAACAGAAAAGTGCAGTCAGAAGAGGGAGGAGCGTGCTGTAAAGGAAAGGACGAGTATACGTACCGTGCATGAGGGTAACGCAGTAAAAGACGGTGTTAGCAACCTGGTGTAGTTAATGACCGTCTGCTCTGTCGTAAAGCAATAATCAACTTGAAATGAGGACCGGGTTTCTCGAAAACACAGGAATCCAATCTTATCCGCCCATAGAGCTGTGTCATGGATCGGATCGTGCTTGCAAGATTGGACGAAGGTTAAGGACAAACTTAGTGTGATGTATGTGCTGTGACGAGCGCCCTTAGTCCAAGCGCACGCTGCGCACCTGCCGGAACAGCAATTGGCGAGAACCAAGAGGGAAGAAAGAGCCACATCGGATTGAAATGAGAGGGGAGTAAGTCGAATGAGCTGGAAATTGCCTAGTATGCTACAGATTCGCACCTTGCTTTTTGCGACCAGTCCATGTCGATCCATAATGATACAAGCAATAGCAAGTAGGGTGCAAAGCGCAATACTCAACAGTTTGGCGGCATGTCAGAAAGAAAAGCCTGGAACCTTAGAAACTCCACCTCTACAAACATGTTGATCTCCAATCATACAGAGAGTAAAGTAGGATCGCACTCACGTTCCTGTTCCTTCAGCGTCTCTGCAGCCATGCTTTCGATTGGACCAGACTTCGCCTGCTCCGGCGTGAGGGTTGCTTTCCCATTGACGAGCGGCACCTGCCCTGCGTCGTATCTCGTCATAATAATCATTTGCGAGCGCTTCAATGGGTCCCCCGTCCCACGTCCCCAGTACATCGCTCCATATCCATGGAGTTCCTGCACTCTCTGGTCGAGCTCCATGAGAACCGACCAGTGGTCGCCTCGGATGTCCTGGAGGGGCTCATCTCCTCGCGCGGCGCGCAGTCGGTTGGCCCATGCCAGGCCCTCCTCGAACGTGATAACCAGGCCCGCGACTATCCAGCGTGCGACTGTCTTGACCGGCTGTGGTGTCCGTGTCGCGCTGTCAATCTAGAGTACTAGTAGTAAGTGTCGCCTTGCGTCGAAAGATAAGAAGTCACTCACGGTCGAGGAACTACTACCAACTTCAGGCGCCGCCTGCGGTTCTGAAGAGAACAGATGGCAAGGTCTGGATGTAATGAGTGTGGCTTCTCAACGCGAGAGCAGAACCTCACTAACGCATCATGACTCTGAGTCGGCGGTTCGGACATGGTGGTAACTAAACAGTAGCACCCGTATCGATTTCTCTTGTGGTTCCGGCGGGATTGTCAGTTATAACTTGCCCTTCAAGCTTCAAGCCGTCATCGTTGGGTGCAACCTCGAGCCACAATCGCGTATCCGCGAATCGTTGAAACCACGTGAGCTCGGGCGAGGTTATTTTTGGACCACGTCTTGGAAATGCAACGAGATGTAGGCCAGACGAAGGTATGCTAGGAATTGCTCAGCATGCTACATTTACAGATTCCATCCTTATTGGATGACTTTCCGTAAGCATTTAGAGTCGTTTTCTATCCTAGATCCGACTCGAAATGCATCAGCCGAGATGCCGCCTTGTCACGCTCGCCAATTTTGATGGTGGTCGTCGAGTTGAAGCTGTCTGCAAACTTTATTTTGTCAAGGGGGTCCGACCCCCCTCTTCAGACTCGCGCTCGCCTCTAAAGGCTCGCTTAGCCTCGGTTAACGTTCGCGTATCATGCCATCATATACTTGCCATCAGTGCCTTCCGTATTTAGCCACTTTCCTTCCTTACATAGTAAGCCGCCATCAATAGCGTGACTGAGGGCTTGTGGCGTTACGGATAGGAGAAACACCTCTATCCTGTCTATCGGCCGTGCGAATGACCGTGACAAGGCACTGTGATGGCGTTTAGGACGGCGAAATCTAGGATTTTTCCTTACGGAAAGTCATCCATTCATAGCCATTGCAAACCCTCCATGCTGGTTTATAATCATGCGAACAATAATAATGATGGTACAAAAGTGCAATGTTCAAAAGTCGGGGGGCATCGTAGAAGGAAAGGCGTGAAACCTTATGAACTCCACCTCTACAAGCGCGTTGATCTTCAGTCTAGTTCAGGCTACGCAGCACAAATCAAGATCGCACTCACGTTCATCCTCCTTCAACGTCTTCGCAGCCATGCGTTCAATTGGACCCGACTTTGTCTGAGCCGGTGTGAGGGTTGCTTTCCCATTGACAAGCGGCACGCGCCCTGGGTCATATCTTGTAATGAGCAGCATGTGCGAGCGCTTCATCGGATCTCCCGTACTACGCCCCCAATACATAGCTCCGTAGCCGCGGAGATCCTCCACTCTCTGGTAGACCTCCATGAGAATCGAGCAGTGGTCGCGTCGGGTGTCTTCGAGGGGTTCGTCTCCTCGAGCGGTGCGCAATCGATTGGCCCATGCCAGGCCCTCCTCAAACGTAATGAGGAGACCACCGACTATCCAGCGTCCGACTGTCCTGATGCTCCCTGGCTTCTGTTCTGGTTCCGTGCTTGCCGAATATTTCAGTGTCACTGGTGTACATGACGCTATGGACTTCAATTCTCACTTACATATGCTGGGACAGAGCTAAGACCTCAGACGGTAATTTTGGAGACGGAGGAAGGGCACTCAAAGTAACATTGAGCGTGGCCTCCGAGTAAGTATGCGACAAGCCACTCACACATCCTCAGGTCGCTGAGCTGAGTCTTCAGACATCGCATGTGATGGATAAGCAGCTGAGTTATGCCGCGTTAGTTCGAGGTGGTCGAGTCTAACTTGGTCTTCGAGCCGTCATGAACCTCCAGCCACAACCGCGACGCGAACGGTGGGAGCCACGTGAGCGGCTTCGTGACGTCCAAAAATAACGTTGCTCGCGCATCGGAGGCACTGTGAATTTGGAGATGAGAAAAGCAGGGTAGAGATTGCTCGATATGCTGTGTTTATTCCATAGAGACTGAATCGTAATTGTACATGCAATAATACTGATGGTAGAAACGCGCATCGATGCTCAACAGTCAGGCGGCATGTCGGAAGGAAAAGCTTGAAACCCTATGGACTCCACCCCTACAAACGCGCGCGTGCGTTCATCATTCAATGAGCCCAAGCTACAAGGCACGAAGGAAGGTCGCACTCACGTTCGTCCTCCTTCAACTTCTTCGCAGCCATGCGCTCGATTGGACCTGACTTAGTCTGCGCCCGAGTGAGGGTTGCTTTCCCATTGACAAACGGCACCCTCGCTCGATCATATCTTGTGATGACCATCACATGTGAGCATATTACATCGCCGCCGTCCGTGGGATGTCCCCAAGACATGCAGCCATACCCGTGCAGTTCCTTCACTCGCTCGTCGATCTCTAAGAGAAGCGAGCAGTAGTCATCTCGCGTAGCCTCAAGAGGGGCGTCTCCACGAGCAGCGCGCAGGCGGTTGACCCAAGCCAGAGTCTCCTCACAGGTAATAATAAGGCCACCAACAACCCAGCGTTCAACCGTCCTCACGCGCTGTGGGTTGGTGCTCGCGGGAATTCTAGAAGTACTCAGAGTCGCCTCAGGTTACTGTATGGGAATGTTTATTGTAAACGCTCACTTACGCATTCTCAGGCTGAGCGTTTGAGGCAGACATCATGGCGTCAATGAACAGTTCAGCGCTGTAGGTTCTTGCGACGGTGCAGTCTCAACTTTGAAGCCACAAGCGCGACGACGCTGGCAGGTGATGGGAAAGCACGTGATCGCGTATATTATGTGGCGCGTGCCACATTCATATCGACAGCGCTCGGGACCAGAGTTTGGTAATTCTAAGCTCGCTAGAACCCATAATATACACTAAAGTTACAAACTTCCTTATGCCTATTGCAAATAAATGGCAGCGGCAAAGAAACCCAAGGCTACACATCCGACCCGAGCACGCGCCCTATAAAGCCAACTCCCACCGCGTCAGCTACTTAGTCCAGCGAGGAGGACAGTAAAGAGAGCGGATCGAGCAATATCAGAAAAAGGCGTGACGGCGTTCCTTTTGTGCCGCTTGCGGATGCACGTGCCGGTGGGCTCCAGTCGGAGCCCGCACATGCCCGTCGTGCGAATTGCGTCCTTGAACACGCCGAGCGAGCATGCTCAAATGTACGGGAGTGCCAACGACGATGGAGGGGGCTGGCTGGAGGAGGTAAGGTGGGATGGTGGGTGAAAAGGATATGAGCGGCGACACAATGAGCATCCGTACTTGCATCTTCCATTTCAAGAGTTCAATCGGGGTACTGTAGTGTTAGCGTGAATGTCGTATCTGCGTCCCAAATGGTATTAGGACCCACAGGAGGAAACTAATCATACCCCTTGCACCTGCTCCTACAGGAGCCAGATGGGGAGTAGACTGGTCTGGCGAAGCGGGGGAATTTCTAAGTGGCGGAAGAGGTGCTGCAGCTCACTGTGCAAGAGCTATGACTAGAAAGCTGCGATTAGGTGCTAGTATTCGGTTCGGTTGATGATTGAGGTCCACCAAGAGCTATCCACACTCACCTACAGTAAGATCCGCGAACGGCATAGACATCCCAGTGTCATAGGCTACGAAAAACGAAAGAGATAATATCTTATGATTCGTGAAGGTCAATACTGTCTTCTGGTGACATACTTTTATCCTGTATCATTGCAAGCTTGAGTGCGCGGCGGGGGAGGTCAAGACAGAATCTTCGTCGATCCATAGTCGTACTACTCCAATAACAATCAGAATACAAACGAGTATCGTTCAACAGTAGGGCGGCGTTTCGGAAGGGAAAGCCTTGTACCCTACGTACTCCACCTCTACAAACGCATCCACAAGCAGTCAGCTCGAGCCACGGAGGAAATAGTCGGACTCCTACTCACGCTCCCGGTCCTTCAAGGTCTTCACAGCCATGCGTTCAACGGGACCCGACCGCCTCTGCTCCGATGCGAGGGTCGGTACTCCATTGACGACCGGCACCCGCGCTGGTTCATACTTCGTCATGATCAGCATGTGCGCGCACTTTTGCGGGTCCTCGGCCCAGTACATCGCCCCATGCCCGTGGAGTTCTAGCACCCTCTCCTGGACCTCGACGAGCACTTGGTAATAGTCTCTTCGGGTGGCCTCCAGCGAGTGTTCTCCTCGTGTGGCGCGCAATCGGTTGGCCCAGGCTAAGGCCTCCTCGTAGGTGATAATAATGCCGCCAACTATCCAGCGTTCGACACTCTGGATGCGCCGTGGCTTCTGTGCTGTTTCGGAGCTTATGAGAAGTGTAAGTGTCAGTAATGCACGCCGCTATGAGGGTCCATGCTAACGTACCTATCCTGCGACTGAGCCGGGTTCTCAGACGTTCCTTTTGGAGGCGGCAGAGGGGGCCTTAGAGTAATATTAAGCCTCGCTTCCTAGGGCAGTATGAGGGCAGCTTTCTCACGCATCCTGAGGCTGAGCTATCTGTTCAGACATTGCAAGAGAGAGGTAGAGAAAGAAAAGTCAAGTAGGTCTTCAAGCCGCCATCGTCCAGTGCAACGTCAAGCCACAATCGCGACGACGCGAAAGGCGGAAGCCACGTGAGCGGGAGCGAGGCTATTTTTGGACGTCACGAAGCCACATCGGGGGCACTGGAAAATGAGAAAAGCAGGCTAGAGATTGCTTAGTACACTAAGTACATCCGCATATTCCCTCCTTTAATTGCGACCAGTTCATGTCAATTCATACTCATACAGGAAATAATAATGATGGTACAGAAGTGGAATGTTCAACAGTCAGGCGGCATCGTAGAAGGAAAAGCGTAAAACCCTATGAACTCCACCTCTACGAGTAGAGTCATGTTGAATCAGTCTAGGCTACATACATATCAAGCTTGCACTCACGTTCGTCCTCCTTCAACGTCTTCGCAGCCATGCGCTCGATTGGACCTGACTTCGTCTGCGCCCGAGTGAGGGTTGCTTTCCCATTGACGAGCGGCACCCGCCCTGGATCATATCTCGTAATAATCAGGAAGTGCGAGCACTTTACCGGGTCCCCGGTACTACGCCCCCAATACATAGCTCCATACCCGCGGAGTTCCCGCACCCTCGTGTCGATGTCTATGAGAATCGAGCAGTGGTCGCGTTGGGTGTCTTCGAGGGGTTCGTCTCCTCGAGCGGCGCGCAGCCGGTTGGCCCATGCAAGGCCCTCCTCAAACTTGATAAGGAGCCCGCCGACGATCCAGCGATCGACTGTCCTGACGCGCCGTGGCTTCTGTGCTGGTTCCATGCTTGCGGTAACTCTCGGTGTCATCGCTGCACCTCACGCCACAGAGATCAATGCTCACCATATATCCCGGGACTGAGCGAGATCCTTAGACGTTGATTTTGGAGACGGAGGAAGAGCACTCAAAGTAATATTCAGCGTGGCCTCCCAGTAAGTATACGAGAAGTCACTCACCATTCCTCGAGTCGCTGAGCAGTGTCTTCAGACATTGCAAATGAGTGAGAAACAATTGAGTCGAGTTTTTGCTGCGTTGGTTCGAGGTAGTCGACTCTGACTTTGTCTTCGAGCCGTGATGGAACTCCAGCCACAACCGCGACGACGCGAACGCGGGGGCCACGTGAGCGTGAGCGACGCTATTTTTGGACGTCACGAAGCCACACGGGAGGAATGCGAAAGGTGTGGGAGAGATCGCTCGATATGCAACGTTTACATATTCCCTCCTTACGGACAGCGACCAGACCACGCCAATTCGTAGCCATACAAGCAATAATAATGATGGTACAAAGTGCGATACTCAACAGTTAGGCGGCATGTCAGAAAGAAAAGCCTGGAACCCTATGAACTCCACCTTCACAAGCGTGTTCATCTCCAATCAGCCTAGAGTACAAAGAATGAAGCCTCAATGAAGTACGATCGCACTCACGCTCCTGTTCCTTCAGCGTCTCTGCAGCCATGCTTTCGATTGGACCAGACTTCGCCTGCTCCGGCGTGAGGGTCGCTTTCCCATTGACGAGCGGCACCTGCCCTGGGTCGTATCTCGTCATAATAATCATGTGTGAGCACTTCAATGGGTCCCCCGTCCTACGGCCCCAGTACATAGCTCCATATCCATGAAGTTCCTGCACTCTCTGGTCAAGCTCCCTCTCTGGTCAAGCTCCATGAGGACCGACCAGTGGTCGCCTCGGACGTCCTGGAGAGGTTCATCTCCTCGCGCGGCGCGCAGTCGGTTGGCCCTTGCTAGGCCCTCCTCAAACGTAATAACCAGGCCACTGACAATCCAGCGTGAGACCGTCCTGATGGACTGCGGCTCCTGTGCTGGTTTCGTGCTTTCGGAAATTCTCAGTGTCACTGGTACGCATCGCTATGGGCATCAGTTCTCACTCACATATACGGGGACTGAGCGAAGACCTTGGACGGTAATTTTGGAGGCGCAGAAAGGGCACTGGAAGTAATATTGAGCGTGGCCTCCAAGTATGCGACACGCCACTCACAAATCCTTAGCCTCAGGTCGCTGAGCTGTGTCTTCAGACATTGCAAGTGATGGAGCAGCAGTTGAGTTATGCTGCGTTAGTTCGAGGTGGTGGAGTCTTACTTGGTCTTCGAACCTCCAGCCACAACCGCGACGACGCGGAAAGGCGGAAGCCACGTGCCAGTGAGCGTGAGCAAGGCTATTTTTGGACGCCACAAAGCCACATTCAAGACTAGTCTCCCGAAGTCAGACCGTATTGCCTCCCTTATAAGGCAGGTGGAGGGCGGTCGGCATATAACGGTCTGCTTCCAGTCGCGCCTGCCTTGGCTGGCTCACCGATTTCAACATCACGTGAATTGTCCCACGGCCTTTGCCTCTATTCTCTGCTCTACTTTCGCTGCCTGGATGCATAACCAGGTTCTCTTTTGACTGCATCTACAATTGAATACCATGTAATGGTACAGTTATGTGTTTTCATAGCATCAAAACACTCAGAATATGCGACAGGACCATGGCAAGAGTTGCTGACTCAGCACCTCTGGCTCTTCCTAATTTGGACACCATCTCATCCTTTTGCCTCCCCGGCGTGTTTGTGAGCCATAGCGCCCTCGCACCTTGCACCCGGTGCACATTGGAAGGGTATATGCCAGACTAAAGCAGAGTATGGATAAATTAATGTATATTTTAATTGGCAAGCATCATATACCAGCACAAACTGCATGGCAACAGCAGAAATGTAGCAGTTAATGAGGATTCATGTCTCCCTTACCTCTCTATTGCTCTGGAATACACATAATAAGGCTACACACACATTGTGAGGGCAAAGGACAACCTGTAAGAGCTTCAAACGCGCTCATACTCGCGTTCGACACTGCAGCGAGCGCGTCCTAAATGAGTGCACGTGACACTACAGGGTCCGAATATGCCTAATGTGCCAAGTGCCGCGCGACTGGATGCAGACTAATTCAAGACACTGAGAAAAGCGGAGAGTAGATTGCTCAATATACTAAGTACATCCACATAATCCCTCCCTTGATAGCGACCAGTTCATGTCAATTCATACTCATACAGGCAATAAGAATGATGGTACAGAAGTGGAATGTTCAACAGTCAGGCGGCATCGTAGAAGGAAAAGCGTAAAACCCTATGAACTCCACCTCTACGAGTAGAGTCATGTTGAATCAGTCTAGGCTACATACATATCAAGCTCGCACTCACGTTCGTCCTCCTTCAGCTTCTTCGCAGCCATACGCTCAATTGGACCAGACTTCGTCTGCGCCGGCGTGAGGGTTGCTTTCCCATCGACAAGCGGCACGCGCCCTGGGTCATATCTTGTAATGACTAGCATATGCGAGCACTTCATCGGGTCTCCCGTACTACGCCCCCAATACATAGCTCCATAGCCGCGGAGCTCCCGCACCCTCGTATCAATGTCCATGAGAATCGAGCAGTGGTCGCGATGGGTGTCCTCGAGGGGTTCGTCTCCTCGAGCGGCGCGCAATCGATTAGCCCATGATAGGCCCTCCTCAAACGTAATAAGGAGGCCACCGACTACCCAGCGTCCGACAGTCCTGGCGCGCTGTGGCTTCTGTGCTGGGCTTGTGCCGGCAGGAGTTCTACAAGGAGTACTAAGTGTCGCCTTGGTCTTTGAAAAGAACAGCTTACTTACGTGTCCTGAGTCGGAGCAACAGCCTCAGACATATTTCCTAGACCCGATAGCGATAGAAGACTGTATTTTGCAGTGAGTGCAAGAGAGAAGGCGTGTATAATGTGCCACCGTGTTGAACGCGCGCGGCGAGTGCGCGGCGGACGAGGACCCTTGATAATACCTAGGTGGGTCGGATACTGAACTGGCCGATTTGGGTCTATTTTACCGGGACTGATTATTACCATATTGGGCCATTTTTACCGGGATCTGAACCCGACCTCGGCGCCTACCCCCACTTTTACCGGGATAGCCGTATCCGACCTCAAAAAATATGGGAAATTACAAATAAATTACAAAACAATCTCTGGCATATAGTACAGGCTTCATTTATCTACACCATCCTCGTCGAATACCTTGCGACTCCGTGGGTTGCTGAGTTTCGACACAGCGGCAGTGATAAGCCTTCAGCCACTTCTGCTTCGCCGCTAGAGCAGTGTTCAGACGCTCCCAGCAAGTGATAGCTTTGAACGGAACTCGGCGACCTTGGCTTGAAGGAATAGTCACGGACAGCTTGGCATCAAGCATTGCTTGACCTGCAGCCTCACGTATCCGGCGGACTGTCTCTTTTCCCTGTTAGGAAGCGATGTCCTAACTAGTCGTCTTGAGATAACTGGGCCACGTGCCAACAGTTATGTCGTTACTACCTCAGTAAGCGTACTGAAAGGTAGGTCTGGCCGGGCCAATGCCAACGGTCAAGTCAAGAGTCCAGGTAATCGCTGTATTCAACAGGAGGTTGAACTAAGGAATACATGGGTTTTCCTACAGTATATATAGTAACTGGTATAGGGGTTAATACCCAAAGAAGAGAACAATAAGAAAGGACGCGTAGGCCATCCTGCGAGAACGTAACTCAGAGAAATGAGAAATACAAGGGCGCCCATTGGTAGAAGGTGAGTCAAGGAAGATAACGTGTGAGAAGAAGATAGCGTCCATGGGAAGGTCTACTCGGAGAAAGGTACTGTCCAATAGCAATGCTCGGAATGGAAATGGAATGAGATAAGCATGGGAAAATCATAACATTACCCCCTTCCTATGGTCGAAGTTTACCCAAACTTCCTAGTTATGACCGGTTACTGAACCGTCCAGGTCCACAAGAGTGCCATCATCGTAGTCTTGTTCTTCGGT